GAAGGTGGTATAGTAGAAAAGACAGTGGGCACAGAATCAAGAGAGAGCTCCATTAGAGTCCTAGCCCTGACACTATCTGAGTGACCTGGGGAAAATCACTTAACCTCTGTGGGCCTCAGTTTCCTTGTCTGTAAAGTGAAGGTTTTTGGCTGGATTTCTGAGGCCCCTTCCAGCTCTGAATTTATGGTAAGCTAACCACATTTGCACCACCTCTAAGGTCCGTTTTAGCCTCCTCTTTCAGGGTGAAGGCTCTTTCAAGGGCCATGTTTTAATGACGAAATAGTCGTAACTTGCAGTGAGCCTATCAGCCATTTAAAACATATATCATTCATAAACTGATTAAAAGAGTTGGTTCTTTAAAGTTAGCATGCTTCTCTTCCTCCCTTCTTTTTCCTTTCCCTCCTGAAAGAGAGACAGAGACAGAGAGAGAGGCAGAGACAGAAACAGAGACAGACATACATACATACATACATACATACACTCCTTTTCCTCTAAGGGATCTTAGATTTCCAGCTCTAATTTGCTTGGGCCAACCCTTTCCTAAGAAATTAAACAAAGGTAACCCTAAGCCCAGCCCTGAACTGATTATTCCACATGAGCTAGTCTGAGGGAACTGGCTTCTCTCTCCCCCACCCCCACCCCTCAAGCAGGGCTTAGGACCCACTGACATTATTCAGCAGAACAGACTTGGGCTTGAGCGTCTGTCCAACTTTTGATTTTTGTATGAGGACCTCAGAACACAGAATGCCTAAGCTGAAAGGGACTTGGGAGCATAAAATGTCAGAGCGGAAAGGGATTTTAGAACTCAGAATGTCAGAGCTGAGAGTATAAATGTTAGAGCAAAAGGAACCTTCAAATACAGAATGTTACATCTGAGAGGGCCCAGAAAATACAAAATGTCAGAGCTGGGAGGGAGGGCCCTTAGAACACAGAATGTCAGAGCTGGAAGTGCCCTTAGAACACAGAATGTCAGAGCTAGGAGGGTCCTTAGAACACAGGATGTCAGAGCTGAAAGGGATTTTAGAACTCAGAATGTCAGAGCTGGAAAGATCCTGAGAGTATAAATGTTAGAGCAAAAGGAAACTTCAAATACAGAATGTTACATCTGAGAGGGCCCAGAAAATACAGAATATCAGAGCTGGGAGGGAGGGCCCTTAGAACACAGAATGTCAGAACTGGAAGGGCCCTTAGAACACAGAATGTCGGAGCTGGGAGGGGCCTTAGAACACAGGATGTCAGAGCTGGCAAGGGTCTTAGAACAGACAATGTCAGAGGAGAAGGAACCTTCAAATATAGAACATTACAACTGAGAGGGCTGTGAGAACCCTTTTCATTTTACAAATGAACAAACTGAGGTCCAGAGCAGTTCCTGGCTTTGCCTAAGATCACACAGGTGAAAAGTAGAGTTGTCAGAATTTGAATTGAGGTCCTTGACTCCAAGTCACATAATTGATATGGATCTGGGAGAGAACTTTGACATCATCTAACCCGATCTCCTTCACATTGACAGATGAGGAAACTGAAGCATAGAGATTAAATCACTTGACTAGTGTTCCACCCATAAGGTGGCAAAGCCAGGATTCACACCCAGGTCCATTTCTTCCCACTTCTCCCTACCTAGTACTACTCTGTGCTGCTCCTTCACCAACAAAACAAAGCCAAGTCTTCTTGCATTGAGGGAGAAAGGGTTCCTTGTTGCCAATCCTGTGGCCTCTGCATTAGGGGTTTGAGAGCTACCAGGCTGGTTTAACAGAATCTGACCCTTTGTTCCTATGATCTAACCAATGCTAGGTGTTACAGTGGAATGAGAGCCAGGCCTGGAGTCAGGACAATCTGAGTTTAAATCCATTCTCAGACTCTTACTGTGTGACCCTGGGCAAGTCATTAACAAGTTTGCCAGAGTTTCCTCAGCTGTAAAATGGGGATTATTACAGCACCTATTTGCAGAGTAAGTGTGAGGCTCAAATGAGATAGTACTTGTAAAGTGCCCAGCACATAGTAGGCACTATATAAATGCCTATTTCCCCTTCCCCCAATCTTCAGAGTCGTGTTTCTTGACCTATCCTTTTCTGTGTGTGTGTATGTGATAAATTACAGATTGTTTTTCTATGATACTTAGCTCACCAAATCTATTTGTGACTTAGCTTCAAAGTTCTTCCAAAAAGTCATTAACGGGGAAAAGATAAAGATGCTGTTATTTTGAGCTAGAAAGGGACCTTAGGAGGGCATCTGCCCCAACCTTCTCATTTAGTGATGAGGAAACTGTGCTTCAGGGGACACAAGTGAGTTGTGTAAGGTCATTGGGATCGTGGCACTGGGGCTGGATAGGACTTTTAAGGCTATCTAATTCAATCCTCTTTTTAGACCAGAGGAAACTGAGGCCCAGAAAGTGTAAGTGACTTGCTCTCGGTTATCCAGGTAGTAAGAACCGAAGGTGGGATTTGCACCCAGTTCTTTTGGGTTCTTCAGAGCCAGCTCTTTTCCTACTATATCATAAGAAAAGTCATAAAGCTAAACTTTATCTCAAGTCCATTAATTCCAGGAGCCATTCTATTTACCGTGTTGCCTCCTTTGATCTGCATTATAGAAGTCATGAATTGAGGCCAGCAAGTCCGGCCCTCTCCCCTACATGTTCAATGTGGCTCTCAGGAGAAATCAGAGAATGATGCTCCCATAGCTCCATGTTGCAGAACCAGGCCAGGGGACGGAATCTTGAGCGTTGTCAGTTCAGAGAGTGTGATGAGAGGCTGGGCTTTCTTCTCGGTCAGGGAGATGTTATTTACACTTGGGCAGACTGGGAGAGCTGAATGTGGCTGCCCGCTGCCTAGGGAGGGCTCACCTCTGACTCTTGGAATCTGTTGTAGTTCAGTCATTTTTCAGTCTTGTCTGACTCTTTTTGATCCCATTTGGGTTTTCTTGGCAGTTACTGGAGTGTTTGCCATTTCCTTTTCCAGCTTATTTTACAGATGAGGAAACTGAGGCCAGCAGGGTTCAGTGACTTGCCCAGGGTCACACAGCTAGTGAGCGTCTGAGGCCGAATTTGTCCTCATCTTCTTGGCTCTAGACCCAACACTCTGCTGCATCACCTAGCCGCCCACCTAGCTTAAGCTTCCTTCAGTGAAGGCTCAGCTCAAGTGTCCCGTCTCAAAATAGGCCAATCCCCATCTCTCCAGCTGCTACTGCCCTCCTTACAGAAATTGCTCTGTGGGTTTGTGTGTGTGTGTATATTCCTCACAGTTGGATGTCAGCCCTTTAAAGGCAGGGATTGTTTCATTTTTGTCTTTGTTTCATCCAGGGCTTAGCACAGTGCCTGGTGCAGAGTAGGTGCGTGACAGATGAACAAATGTGGAGAGATGGATGGATGGATGGATGGATGGATGGATGGATGGATGGATGGATGGATGAGGATGAGTTCCATAGAAATCTGCCTGCACTGGGAGAGAAGGGAAGAGCAAGGCTGAAGTGAGGCTGTCTGGCACAAACAGAACTAGCTCTGTGGGCTCAGGTCCCTGTGACCTGGAACTAACCAAGGCCAAATTGAGTGCCATCTCTGGGCTCCAGCTCATCCATTAGAGAGGGGATTGAGATAGAAGATCCTAAGGTCCCTTCCAGCTTTGACCTTCTGAACCTAGGAGTGAATGAGAAGCTGCTTGGCTTTGGAGTCAGGAGGGCCTGGCTTCGAATCCTGCCTCAGACACTTATGACTAGGTCTCACTCTAGAGGATCATGCGGTTAGAGCTGGAAAGGACTTGGGATGCTGACAGGTCCAGTTCCCTCATTTTACAGATCAGGAGACTGAAACAGAAAGATGTGGTTTGCCCAGTGTCAGCTAGGAGCTATCTAAGGTGAAATTTTTTAACCCACGCCTTCTTGGTTCCAAGTCTAGTGCTCTGTCCACTATACAGGGAGGCAGCTAGGTGGCTCAGGAAGATCATACCGCGTGACCCTGAGCAAGTCAAACACTGCCTGCCTCAGTTTCCTCATCTGTAAAATGGGGATAATAATAGCACCTATCTTCCAGGGTTGCTGCGAGAATCAAATAAGATAATATTTGTAGGGGCAGCTAGGTGGCGCAGTGGATAGATCACTGTCCCTGGATTCAGGAGGACCTGAGTTCAAATGCGGCCTCAGACACATAACACTAGCTGTGTGACCCTGGGCAAGTCGCTTAACCCCATTGCCTAGCCAAAAAAAAAAAAAAAGATAATATTTGTAAAGCATTTCCCTTTTTTCTTTTTTCTCTGCAAATATCTTTTAAATAATATTTAATATTATATGTTATATATTAATGTTATAGATTATAATACATTATTGATGTTATATAGGAATAATATTATACATTATTAATGTGTTATCTATTAATAATATTTATTTTCCCCATTACATGTAAAATTTTTAAAAACTTTTTTTTTAAGTTTTGAGTTCCAAATTCTATTCCTCCCTCTCCTCTCCCTTCCCTGAGATGGTAAGCGATTTGATATAGGTTATATGTGCAATCAAGGCATTGCACTTTTCAAAACTTAAAGCAATGTATAAATGCTTGTTGTTGTTGTTATTATTATTATTATTATTAATTATACCTTACTTACTGGTCTTCCATTTCCTTATCTATAAAATGGAGGTAAAGGCACCAATTCTCCAGGGCATTTGTAAGCCTCAAGTAAAAGGATGCCTTGAAGTCTTGAAATTCTCTAGAAATGTCTGCTATTATTACTAGTTTTGTTATTTATGATAGCCATTCAAAGATCCCATGACTCAGTTAACAGAAACTGCCTGGTAGGTCCAGTCACTGAGGTGGTATTCCCCCAGCTAACATGAGGAAGGATTCTTGGTAAATGGCCACTGGGAATACCCAAGGACTTTTTCCCTTTCTAGGAGCTTGGACACTGACAAGCTGAAGGTCTTAAATATACCTACACCATCTTGCTCCAATGCAAAAAAAAAAAGAGAGAGATTGAGACCAGTTAGTCATTTCCTTGCATTGTTCTTGTTTCCTGCAGTGTTACTCCGAGAAGAGGTATCTCAGCTGCAAGAGGAGGTTCATCTCCTCCGGCAGATGAAGGAAATGCTCACGAAGGACCTGGAGGAGTCTCACGGAAGCAAGTCCACGGAGATTCTCTCGGCCACCGAGCTCAAAGTTCAGCTGGCCCAGAAGGAGCAGGAGCTAGCCAGAGCCAAAGAAGCCCTTTTGGGTGAGTGTCACACCCTGGATGTCCCGTTGGAGGACTGGGTGCCCTCCCTCGGCGAACCCTTCAGCCACCCACCCTCTGGGTAGTCCTGAAGAAAGGAGACAGGCAGACAGGGAATTTCAGGGCCAGGGTGGGAGACGGCATAGACCAGGTGTGATGTTCTGACCAGAGAATGTCTGGGAGAGGCTAGGGGCCACTTCTGAGTCGTAAGAAGGGCTCTGAGGCAGAGTTGGGGTAGAATGGGATGCTGTGGTTTGAATTTGCATGACTGCAAGGATCCTTCTAGCTTCCCCAAGGAGCAGGACATGGGGTCTCATCTGGATGGTTGCAGGAATATATTTTATATTGTCCCCTCTTTCTCAAGGAATAGGTTTACTTGAGTATTGATGCACTAGCCAGAGCTAAAACTAAGGTAGGGCACTTGAGCCTTTGTCCCAAAGGCTCTGAAAGCACTTGCATTGTTTCAGTAACATAACCGCAACAGAGCTCATAGATCAAGCATTTATTAAGCACTTACTGTGTGTCAGGCATTATACTGTCATTACCGTTATCACACCTAACTGGTTAAAATTGGACGCTAACTAGATGGTGTGTCAGAGTGGGCCTCCCATGCCCTATTCCTTCCCACCAGCAGCAGCCTCACCTCGGCATCCCTATTACAAGATGTCGCCACCTCTCTCCACTGTGTTTTGCTCTGATTTCCCTCCTTTTCCCCACCCTGTCCCAGCTGGTGAGTCCCTCTCAGGGCTTGACCCCATCTCACCACTGTCCATCATCCCAGGATTCTGGTGCTTTTCTTTGCTTGGTGTGTTTTTCAGTTACTTTACTTCACTGTTATCATCCATTTGGGGGAAAAAATACAATTTGTCTATATCCTTTATAAGTATGGGGCTCAGAAGTAGACACAGTCAAGTAGATATGTCATCTGAGTAAGGCACAGAAAAAGGAGACAATCATGTCCATTTCTTTGGCTACTGGGACTTCATGCCATCGAGGGTCGTGTGACCTTTGGAGGCTGCTCTATCTCACCATTGGCTTGTATTGAGCTTCCAATCTAATAACTTCACCTAGACCCCCTCCTTCAAGTCTTTTTCACATGACCTGTTATCTAACCAAGTCTTCTCTCATGCTGTACTTGTGCTGTTGATTATTTGGGCCCGCGCTTAGGACTTTACATTTATTCCTATTAAATTTCACTGTTTTACAGTCAGTCCCTCATTCTAGCCCAGTGAGACTGCCACCCCATGTGTTAGTTATCCCTCCCACCTCTGCATCATCTGCTGATTTCATCCCTGCTCGAGAACTATTAAAAAGGCCCCATCGTCCTGCCCAACTGTAAATGCTTTTTCTCCACAATGTTATGCAGACCCTTGCTGGGCCTCTTTGTAGTTTCAGCTTCTCCTTAGCTGTAGGATAGTCCCCACCAGCAAGCAAGGAAAGCATCCCTTGCTGGAAACACTTAAGACTAGTCTGAGCAGAGCCCCAAAGACTCTCCCACAGGGGAAATGCTGGCTGGCGCTGGGTGGGGTGAGCTAGCAGGCTCTGCTCCCTGAGCTCTGTGAGCCTCCAGAGTGTAGGAGCTGAGGCGGGCGTCAGCCAAGTGCTGTTTTCACAACCTTTCCCAGCATTGATTCCAGAGACCGCAAAACCTCTCCATGGAATTAACCTCGGAAAGAACCCTCAGCCCTGTTCTCTGCCTCCCAGGTCTGCACCAGCATGCCCTATGGAGCTGGGAAGAGGAGAAAGTCCTTATTCCCTGGGCTTTTCCTGGAAAGGAAGGCAATGAGCAAAGGGAAGAGGCAGAGAGTAACCAGCCTGCTCTTGCCTAAACACACCGGGTACTCCCCAGTGTCGAGTTATAAAGCCTGGTCCAAATCCACATAACTGAGGATCACACTGAAGCATTATAGAGCGTCACCCTGAGGGCACTATGCGATGTCCTAACACAGCACCCAATCTAAAGGGACCTGGGTTCAAATTCTGGTTCTGCCACTTAGTACCTCTCTGACCTTGGTTAAGTTACTTAACTATTCTGAGACTGTGGCTTTCACAAGAACTCAAAGGGGTACAAGGGAAAGAGCAGTTCATTTAGATGCTAGAGTTCTGGGTTCAAATCCTGACCCTGCTAGTTACTAGAGCTGTTTGACCTCGGACAAGTCACTTCATCTCTCTTGCCTCAGTTTCCCCATCTGTAAATTGAAGGAGGGTATGGTGTTAGACTATATGGCCTTTGAAGTGTCTTCCAGATCTGTGTGACCTTGGATTTCATGAAGCTGATGTCCAGAGAGATCCAAGACCATGCAGCTACTAAGTAGGTGAGCCAGGATTCAAACCCAGGACCCTTGCCTGTAAGCCCACTGATATTTCCATTATACTTTTTTGACCATCAGTGGACAGGATGTCTGGCATCAACTCAATTCAACTAACAGCAGGGGACAGGGACCCAGCTCCAGGGATTGAGATGCAAGGACAGGATTTTCTACTCTGTGATGGGATGGAAGGGAGGTTGGTCCATTCCCAGAAGAACTCAAATATCCAGGAAGGGAATTAGGCCCTGGGGGGAGGGGCAGAAGAAAACAAGTCAGGTGTGGGCAGGATCACAAAGAATACCTTAAGAGCCTGCTTACTGAGGCCCAGCCACAAAGCCAGAGCAAAGCCAACAACTAGGGCTCAGCGACGAAGCCAGAACAGGACCATTAGTGAAGTTGTCTTAATACTGGCACCTCCAGTGTGTAAAGTAAAGTGCTTTCTGTGTGACAGGTAGTACAGCAGCTGTGGTTTATCCCCATTTCACAGAGTGGTAGACTGAGGCTCTTGGGAATTGAAGTAATCCCGTCAAGGGACTTGACTCCAAGCCCAGCACAGATTCCAATCTTATTACCACATTGCCTGTGTCATCATGGTCACGAAGACCAGTTGAGCGATTAGTGACCTGAAGCTCCCTGAATTCCCATCTAGGGATAGGGCTGGCCTCAGAGTCAAGGGTGGGGTTGGCCCTGCAGGTGAGGATTAAGAGGTTAGATGGCTTCAGCAGCAGGACACCAAGCAGATCATAATTAAATTATATCCTAAATTCTTTTTAAGTATTACTTATTCATCCTTTAAACTCCTCTCTGAAGAAATTATAGATGGTGGAACCATCAGTTGAGATTTGGAAGGGACCTTAAAGGTCATCTAGCCTTCTTTTTACAGATGAGGAAACTGAGGCTCAGAGGTGCCATTCACTCAGAGCCAGAGCTGAAAGGCGTCTTAGAGAGCACTTAGTTCAGCTGCCTAATGGTATAACTAGGGAAACTGAGGCCCAGAGAGGTAAGTTACTTATCTAAGGTCATGCAAGTAGAAAGTAGCAGACGTTGGTCATACAACAAAATCAGCAACAAAACCAGGTGTAGACGAGTCATTGTAATTAATAATAATTATAATTATAATCGACGTTTTCCCAAACCCTCAGAACACTTCCCACTCCCCATCTTGATGATGATGATAATAATAATAATAATAATGAATGACAGTAATAGCAGCTAATGTTTATATAGTACCTACTATGTGCCATGCACTGTGCTAAGTACTTTACAATTATTATCTCATTTGCTTCTCACAACCTTAGAAGGGAGGTGCTACCATTATTCGCATTTTACAGGAAGCAGACTGGGTTTGTGACCTCCCAAGGGTCACACAGCTGATAAGTGTCTGAGGCCGGATTTGAACTCAGGTCTTCCTGAATCCAGGCCCAGCACTCTCTCCACTCCGCCACCTAGCTGTCTATCCTTCTCATTTCATAGAGAATGAAATGGATAATCAGAAAGCTCAGGCCACTTATCCAGTGACCCATACCTACTAAGCTCAGACTGAGACCTAGGTCTTCTGAATAGTGGTTCGGTGTTCTTGTCAACTGACCTCAGCTAGGGCCCCAGGGAGGGTCAGGCTAAGGAGGAGATGAGGCAGGAAGGAAAGCTCCTACCCCCCAGGGTTGAGGATGTTTGCTGTGGGTTGTTGAATCAGAGCTGAAGGTTCCCTGGAGGGACTGTCTAGAATGTCAGCTCTGTGAGGACAGGGACCATTTCTTTCTTTGTCCAGTGCCCAGCGCCTGGCCCTGACTCAGAAGAGATCTTTTTAAAATGCTTGTTGATAATTGATCTAGTCCAACCACCTGTTTTTACAATGAAGGAAACTGAGGCCCAGAGACATAAAGTGATTCGCCCAAAGCTCACAGCTAGTAAGTGGGCAGAGGTAGGGTTCGAACCCAAGGGCACAGAATCTGAATGCAGAGCTCTTTCCACTGGCCTGTATCAGGGTTGGTGTTGCACAGGGATCAGTGCTGTGGAGAGCAGCCAGGCCCCAGGGCCCCTGAGCACCGTGGTTGGGATCTGGAAAAGCATTCACCTGCTTCCTAACCACCTACAAATCTGGAGAATAAGTCACAGACAGATGCGGGCAGAGCATGGGCTGGGCGTCAACCGGAACATATGAGCCTAGAACAAGAAAAGCTAGAAGAAAGGGAGCCACGAAGCAGCAGCAGCAGACGTTGGGCAACACCCACTAACAGCCAGTATCCCCATCAACAGAGGAAACAAAGCCGGCTAAGAATTCCACTGTTGACAGAGGCAGCCAACACCATACTGGGGGTGAGCCAGGTTTGAATAAGCTGGCCTTGGGAGGGGACTTAGAAGACAGGAAGCATCAGAAACCTTTGTGCCAGCAAAGAATCGCTGTCAGTCAGAGCTGGGAGGGTACTGAGCACAGAGAATGTCAGAGCTGGGAGGGCCCTTAGAACAGAGGATGTCAGAACTGGGAGGGCTCTTAGAACACAAGATGTTAGAGCTGGGAGGGCCCTTAGAACAGGGGATGTCAGAGCTGGGAGGGCTCTAAGAATACAGTGTCAGAGCTGGAAGGGAACATAGAACTTCAGAACTAGTCAGGGTGTTATAGCAAAAGATGTCAGAGTTAGAAAGAACCTTGAAACCCAGAACATCAGAAATGGAAAGGACTTAGAACACAGGATA